AAAACTAAACCTTACTCCTGGCTGGGAGGAAGCGAATGTACAAATGGTAAACAACATTGATATCATGGCAGGGGTAAACAAGTGAGGTTCATTCTGTAGGACACAGAAAACCTCTAATGCACACAATTACCTTCCACAATCTCACAGTGAAGAAAAATTGCACTGTCACTTTTGAGACAATGGTTTTTGTCGTGAGGCGGTGAATATGTTGGCAGTTGAGGTTGCATTCTACTTCCTTCTCTCAGGGAAACCGGAACTTCTTTGCAGAATGTTAATGCCTTGTTGAGTTCCTAGAGCCTGTACCTCTGCCCTATAGAGGGTCACACTATTTGTCACAGCCGAACGCACCACTTATCTGCGCTTTCTCATTTGGTTGCTCTTTAACACCAACTGCTTGTATCTCTGTGGGGATCTGTATCGACGCAAGCGTCGCACCCTGACAGTAACGCGAGCTGTGTCCAGAAAGGCTCCCCTATCACATAACTCCCTTCTCATTTCAGCCCCCTCTCAAGGAGCAAGCGCGATAAAAGTGTCGCTCTTGCCCAGCTACCAACCATTTCTTCTGCACATAGTCCGTTCGTGGAGGCGAGTTTTGAGAGCCTTTGCCATGGTCGATTTGTACGCCGCGGCCTGCCACATTGCCAGTTCCCCCTAACATGGTAAGAGTTGAGGTGGATTCGTGTTCTTGAAGCATGAGTTCGGGATTCTGAAGCGGTGCAAAAGCTTTTCAACAAATCTGAAGATTCGATCTCAGTTCTGCTCACCAATACTAATCTAGCTGGTCTAATTGCCTGACGGCATGAAAACTTGAGTTTCCTAGCACGTTTACAGCCGACAAGCAACAGTAGCCGGACGAACGCCCAACAAAGCTGACTGGTTAAAGGAACTGTGATGCCATTTGTCAGCATGTGCCAGCATCGATTCCTGACAACGAGCTTTTGTAAAGTGCAGAACACGTGTATGCGCTGCGCATTGATGGAATGAAGATTTCCTGACGTGGGCATTCCGAGCTGCGCTTCTAGATAAATCTAATAGAATTGAACACTGAAAATACACCACCATATAAAGAGGTGAACACGCGATAAGTGGTACTCGTCATAGAATGCTATTCGCTCTCGCAGGACTGTGCCTACTCGTAATGAACGTCGGCGCCGAATGTAAGTGCAGTTGTTCAAGTGTGGCAATTCTTAGTACTCTCTGCTTCTCTTCACTTTTCTGTGCAACAAGAGCCATTCGTCCTTGAAAATCAGAATGCACAGTGTTTTTTGCAGTTCGATGCCTCTCCTTCCATCCACTGTACCCAATTTTCAAGGAGTTTCATCGAAGAAATCCTAACCTGGTTGGTATTTTCGATGATTGCTCCGACACTTCTCTGAAGACACCAAACAACTATCGCGCGTCGAAAATGGCCCGCACGTTGCACAAACTCAAATCTTTCTGCGATTCGTCGAAAGTCCGTAAGGGTCTAACAGAGAGTTTATCAAGCCCTTCAAGAATCGTACCTACACCTCCATGCATTAATGGAATTTCCTTGTCCTTTCAAAACAAATATTTGACTTCAGGAATGGAGCCGTGAACTCGCGAGTTTCGCTTGTGACGAAGTAAAATATAATGAGCCTCATTCCGTGAAACATAAGCTCCTGGTTGAGAGGTTGATTTTCTCTTCGTTGTCTGATTGACCTGCTTTTGTCGCAACGAAAAAACTGTTTTCTTTGAGTAACTTCAATGGTAAGCCAAACGCGTTCGCTGTGCGCAGGACTCTTACCAAGGCAACGAACGAACAGAAAGAGCAAGTGAGTTACATACTATTTTGTTAGCAACCACTGGCCTGCTGACGTTAAGATGGCTTGCATAAGTGGCCGGACGTTGATATGTTTTAGTGACTGGAACTTATTGTGGCGCATCATACCACGCGCACGCCTCTCACTCTTCTGTGAGCTTGCTATGCACGATATCATAAGCAGCAAAAACTTCAATATTCAAAACACTTGTCGTACTGACGGATTTTCAATTGGGTTCAAACTTTGTTCAAATGTTTTCTTTCAGATTCGTACACTTTCTGGAGCCACACAGTATGGATGTGACGCCTGGAATGAAGGGGAATACGATGAAAGTTATGTGCCTCTATGACTGAAAATGTGCACATTGTTGTCGGAAAAGCAATTACATAAAGATATTTCGCAT